GGGTTCGAACTATTTTAAGGGTAAAGGGAATCAAGTTGGATCTAACAGAAGGGTAGCTTCACTTCCTTTAACCAAAATTATAATCAAAACCAAGCACTAAACCACCAGGGTCATACAGTGCTGTTTTTGACCGAAAACCCTTCAGCATTAGATTATAATAAAAAAGAAGCGCTGAACCTACAAGTGTCATACAGCGCAGTCATCATTAGATTAAATTGTTAGGCCACTGTGCAGATGATGAACGTATATTTTGTATTTATGAAACATTATCATTATATCAATGAATCACTACAGCAGTTTAAGAGCATGTGGAATGAATGAGAGGTAATGAAATTTAATCCGAGGGGAGATTGCATTGCCTTCCTGGGGAAAACAAACCCGTAAGGGTGATATAGCCCCTGGAAAAATGGGAGGCAGTCGGGTTCGATCCAAGTTAAGGAAGTTTTTCAATAGCTTTTTTGCATCAAGAAGAAGGCATACCATCCTTCCCTTCTTATAAGAGCAGAACAGTGCTCTGTATCTGCACATGAACGACAAACATAATTTATAAACATTAAAAAATACGTACTAAACCCTTATGGGTGATAAAGCTTGTGAAGTATGAAAGTTTATATCGAGGGAGCGCTGAAGCTGTGACGTCGCCTCTTACCATTTTAGGCAAGTCAAGCATCCTCCTTCAAGAGGAATGGCTTCATGGCTATGATTATATTATTATAATCAAAGAAGAAAGCCCGTAAAACTATGATTATATAATTATAATAATAAATAAGTGCAAAACCCACAAGGGTCATGACTGCAAGGTTCTTGATCCAGGGAATTTTAGCTATCGATCTATTCTTCGGACCATGCCTGATTACCTCCCATTCCACAAGTCCTGTATGACCCATTCGGGTTTATTGCTACCTCATAAAGCACTGCATAGCAAGTTTGTGATCTCTCGGGTATACCTGGAGATTTGTAGTTTATTTTTTTGCCCTACATTTTTTGGGAAATTTCTATTAGTTTGAGAGGTGTTCGGGTAATGTTATTTACTAATATATGTGAAAAAGGTATGTCTGCTATATCGCCACTGTCGTTTGTCTGCCATTGCCCTTAACAGATGACCTTGAGCCACTTGTCCGTTGGGACATGGTCTGTAGGTGAATAATCCTTGCGTCATTGGAAAGCTGATTCCATTGTCAAGGTCAAGTGGAAGGATAGGTAGAAAGCCAGCATCAGTTGTTTGAAAGTGGTTCTGGGTTCTTAGGAGGATCCATTTTTGTTCTGGGGTCATTAGAGGGTGTGATAGTAACTAAAGATCCTGGAGAATAAACAAAAAGAAATTAACTGTGGTTGGAGAACTAGCAGATATACAGTCACACACCTTCAGTTGCCACTCCTGGATCTGAAGGCAACCTCTAGTAGTAACGCTATCAGAGGTTCTGCCAGATGGCCACCTGTCTCAGATTAAGTAGACATGCTTGAGGCTTTTATTATCGTGAGCAACCCAATTACTACAGCACTACCAAGAGAAGTTACTTTAGAACAGGGCCAATATTTATTCCTTTTAAAGAACAAAGAGGCACAATACCGTGACTGGAACACACAAATAACTTAGAGAGGAGCTAACGACGACATTGTAAGCTTCTCTCTCCTACGTGCAGGTTAGTGTATTATTCCTTTTATCTAGTAGGTAGATTTCACACAAGGGGTAATATCCCCATTGAGGCCAAAGAAGAAAGTGTAGATATTTAAATTTGATCCTTGGGGACAAGAGGTAACATTCCATGGATCAAGAACTCCTTTGTCATTGCAAAGGATTTTGCCTAAAGAGGTCATCCTTGGTTGGGACTGAAAACTGCGCTTTGATGTAAATTAACTGGCCAAACCAACAAGAGCCATCAGCTGTGTCACTCATCTTTACTTGGCTGGCAATCATCTATGATTCCACTGAAGACTATCTCAGACATTGCTATTGAGCATTTCCATATTGGACAGACTGTACAGTATCCAGTTAGTGATTTATCTGTCCTGATTACATCAGAAACTGGTGGATACTGGTACAGTGGTACCTTGACTTACGAGTTTAATTCATTGTGACCCAGCTCGTAACTCAATTTGCTCGTATATCCATTTTCCTCAGTGAAATTAATCGAAATGCCATTAATCCGTTCCAGCAGAATTCCTGGCTCTCGGGAGAAAATACTTCAGTATAACACTAATATAAACTCTGCAGCTTATTTATCTATCACAATTTATCTAATATGACATAATAAACAATGTAAATAACATAGAAACATGATATATACTTTAGAATGAATAAAATGTCATGTGATGAGTGGTGGTGGCCACTCCCGAGGTAAAAATAATTATCGCTAACCATATCCTCCCGTTCTTGCCCTTTGAGGTCTTATAAGAGAAAATAGTGTTTGTGAGGCTAACTGCACTAGATCACTAGTTTCATAAGTAAAACACTGAAACAAAAGCAATTTTTCTATGATTTCATGCTTTAATTCAGTGGACATCATCATCATCTCAGTGCTGTCCTTTGCACGTACTTTCTTAGGACTCGTGGTTAGAAAAAAGAAATTTGGCAAAATAGCTGCACATAAAGCACAAAATGCTGGGATACTGGTCAGATATTGTGGTGTTTGCTGCACCAACTAGTGGCGGCGTATCTGAAGCTCGCCCGTAACTCAGATTTTGGCTCGCAACTCAAAGCAAAAAATGGACCGAGTGACGGCTTGCAACTCGGAAAACTCATAAGTTGGGGTACTCGTAATTCAGCGTACCACTGTACATGCTGTCCTGTACACAGTAATACTGTAGAGCACTTTTTTGCTTGCTACATGTTCCTTTCTTTGTTGTGGGCATTATCTATGCTATCATCTAGACACCAGGCATCTAGGAGAAAGCTCATGAGGCAAATTTGATTATATTCCTTAAAAGCTACTACTAAACCAGTTACAGTTCCTTGAATCAAGAGCCTTTCATCAGGTACCCCTGAACATTAATATTAGAGGCATTGAACAGACCTCAAACTGCAAATCCAATGACTACAAATCTGCAAACACATTTTTTCTATAAAAATATAAATTGTGAACACCACCTTAATTGTATTGCAGTCAATGCAGCACCAGATTTAACAAAAAAAATTATATTCATGCAGCATGTATGGGAGGAGGAGTGGGGGGCATCAGGCGACCCATATGTCTTCATTGGACAGGAGCAGTTCCTGATGCAGATGGAACATGTCGTCAATACTAAGGACCTGCGTAAGAAAGTTGCTAGTCCCCTCGTTTACTTCTTTAAGGTACGATACTGCTAACAATATCACAACTTTTCTCATATGTATCTAGAAGCTCAATCACACAGTACAGGTGCCCCATATTACAAACATTTGTATATAGGAACCATCTAAAGTTTTAAAACTGCCAAGGCAATGCATGAACATGTGTAAACAAACATAATTTGCATTTATGCTATTTTTAGATAAAAACTATTTTTAAGTCGAAAAATCAAAGCTGCAACTTATAAGCTGGAACCCCTATATTGATATAAAAAATACAGTATGTAAATTTTTAAATGAAAATTAATTGCATATATTGATTACTGTTTATATTTTGCAGGCTGTAGACACAGATGGTAGTGGAGAGATATCTATTGAAGAATTCGAAGTCTTCTACACATGCTTGGGCCTGACAGAAGAGGTATGTTGTTATATACATTTTTTTTATTTAGATAAAAAATATATGTGGCATTTGAAATCACTAATGAAACTACATGTGATTGACTACTATACTTTCATTGGATTTAAAGATTATTGTACAGCTGGAAAGTGTGGTTGTGGCATACCTGACATACAGCAGAACACCCTTTGTCACACTTTTACCTTACAGTGAGCTATATGGTGTACATCTAGACATTCCTTGCAGGAAAGGCACAGAATGACACACATGTCCCATTATTCATTCAACAAGTTGCACTGCTGCATGACCCTGGTGGGTTTAGTGCTTAGTTTTGATTACAATCATTCAACAAGTGTATTGCCAAAAACATGCAAGCATCACAATTCAGATACCCCTCCAAACTGCAGCATCCCCACCCCTCCTTTATACCCTCCAATCTACAACTTTCTACAGGCACTGTGCTTCCCACCTCAAGGACTGGAGTCCAGTTATCTGGTTTTCCCTTATTCCCTCCATAAATGTCACATTGCTTTCACTCCAAGGTGGGGTGTTCTTGGTCCAAGGAATTGGACTTTTCCAACCTCTCTTCAATTAAGCCTGATTGCCCCGCTTTCCCCAGGTGCTGTACTACCTCTTTGGGTTTAAAGCTTTCTCCTAAATATATTCGACAGCACCTCAAACCATAAAAACTAATTTTCTCCACTCTCACCCATTATACTGCTGGATGCTCAAGCCCCTAAGGTTGAAACCTTTCCTGGGAATGGCCCCCTACTCCTCCTTCCTTCCACCCTATCACTCTTGATACCATTCTGCTTCATTCTCTCTAAATAATATCTATGGTAACCCCATACCATCTAATTTCAGCACTCCAAATAATAATCACATCACACTACTCTCAAACATGGCATTTCTACTGTCTCTGGCCTCCTCACTCTAACATTTAAAGGCCCATGCCTCACATCCATACAAGTGTTGGTACCACTATAATTAGTACAGTACATTCCATTTCATCTCCATGGATCAGACAAAGGAAACCAGGTAATAGCTGCTCCTTATCAAGAAGTCTCCCTTCAATCCCCACTGGGAAGGGAAATCTATATCCTACAAACGCTACCTCTTCTTCCCCACGATGCGACAGCATCATGTGAAAATCAAACCAGGAAATGGAGTAATTGAGGACTCCACCAAACTACCTTTAGCTACTGCTGTAAGGACCTGCTTGCAGATCAAGTTTACAGCAATCCACTCATTGAAGGATTCCTTCATTGTTCTCTGCACTGATGACACTGAAGCATCTAAGCTCATGGACAGTTCTGCTATCAAGGCCCTAAAAGACCGACAATTCACCATATCTCCATCTCCGTTCTTGAAGGTGAAACAATCAGTCTTTGTGAAATGGCTTGACAAAATTGTCACCTCTCTCTCAGATGAAGCACTGAAGATATCTATCAAGGAACAAAACACCTGGGCCTCGGTAGACAGCATTACCAAGATCCGTAATGCCTCTTCCATGATTAAGATATCTTTCTCAGACATCTCCATGGCTGCCCAAACTCACCCTCTGATGGACTGGCCATCTCTTATTACTACATATGCCCAAGCCATGTTGAACCAGAAAATTACACTCGTGTCTCCCCTTGCTGGACCTACTACTACAACCATACCACCAAGAGCTGCCCCATCAAGGACAAGAAATTTTGTTCTAACCGTGGAAATGGACACTACTTCAGATCCTGCACCACCACTACTGCTGCTCCAACATGTCTTAGCTACAAGAGTAATCATCATACTCTTGCAGCTAAATGTCCAGCCAGAAAAGAAATATCCAAAACAATTAAGGAATCTGAAGAACAACACCTCAGATTCTCCAACATACATATGCTGCCATAACTAAACTACAAGCTGACACCAAGATTCTACATGCCACACAACCTTCACCTAGCAACGCAACTCCCTTTCACTTCCTGACGGTGCTCTTTCAAAAGTGCTTTACTGCATTCTCCGCAAAGTCGTGAACTTCACTACGCCTGCAGACCTCTCTTCCTCTGCCCAAAATACTGTTCCTGAAACATCTCCAACAACATCAACATTTCCAACATCATCAACAACGAAGATTTGCTGACTCAGCCACCACCTATTATGTGTCTCAGCTGGCTGACAATTCACCAACACACCTCATCACTGCTTCTGTTGACCCAAAGTCACCTTCCAGTACCCATGTAGATTCGCCTACAGACTCCTCTTCTGAGGAAGAGGATAGTGAAGACACATGCCTTCATCCAACAGTGATACTATGACTGGCATGGGACTATAAAAGACTCTATGCTGGATCTGTCAAGTTTGCCTGGGAACCACCACATCACTTCACATTGATGCAAGTACTGGAGTTTGTCAAACCATGCAGTTACACATTTAGACACAGGACACAAGTGTACCACCTCTTCCGAAGCAACTTCAAGAAAATTGTAAACGAATCTTCAACCAACCCTAAATAACAAGCACATTCAAAAAAAAAAACCCTACATGTGAGCTGCCCTCTTCTGTGACCATGCTTGCTGTCCAACTGTTCAAGACTTCCAACGAACTCGAGCCTGATGCAAGCACAGCCTGCTCTTGTGTTTTCCATTCTATCTCACGAGAGCTTAGCTGCTGGGTGTAACCCTGAATCTTTTTCTGTGACTACCTGGAGGGTATCCTGGCAATCAGCTCCCTCTTGAAGACAACCAGGGGTCTATTGGTAATTCCCCTTGTGGTTGGTGGGAGGCTGTTGAACAGTCTTGGGCCCCAGATGCTTATTGTGTTTTCTCTTAGTATACTAATGGCACCCCTACTTTTCACTGGGGGTATGTTGCATCGCCTGCCAAGTCCTTTGCTTTCGTAGGGAGTGATTTCTATGTGCAGATTAGGGACCAGTCCCTCCAGCATCTTCCAGGTGTAGATTATGATGCATCTCTCTCGTCTGCGCTTCAGTGAGTACAAGTCAAGTGTTTCCAATGCTCTTCTTTGCTTGTCTGGTCTTCCTCACTCGCTCCATTGGGGTCTTACCTAGACTCATTTGTTCGTTCCGTAGATAAGATTTCTTTCTGCAGATGTCTCGACTCTACTACTGCCCAACTCATCTATTCTACTTTGTTGCCCCATCTGCTGACAAGTCCACTTTCAAATATTTAACTACATTCACTTTCGTATTTTCTCCTACAAATCTAATATCCAATCTTTCACTGACTATACTTTTTGTTACTCTTTTAATCTAACATCAGTGTTCAATGCAGTTGAGCATCATTAGATTTAATGTAGATTAGACATTAATACATTACATTGAGGAAATACTTTTGATGTTAGTATTATATGTTATCAGCAGTACACGCTGAACTCGCAAGGGTCATGTAGCACTGCAGGGAAAGGGTGCTAACAGTTTAATATGCTCGATTTGAAACCATTGAGGGTAGAGAGTATAACAGAAGTAGAGTTTGTAAGGGCAGTGAGGAATGGTAAATGAAGTATAATGAAAGGTTGTGCAATAAATCTGTTGCTGTCAACAAGTCAGAGGGAGTCTGTGTCAAAGGTGGGTCCGTAAGCAAGGAGGGTAGATAAAGTAAGTGTTAAGAGTGGTGACGACATCGGTTGATGTTAGTAAAAATAATTCCCATTTTTTATTCACGAAAACCAGAGGTATGCTCACACTGTATATTACAGGATTTGTTTAAAATTTTGATGTTTTGCTCTTATATCTTCAAGCAATGAGTAGTAGTAGACGTTAAGTTACAAAGTTATTTGTCATTTTGCTGTATTATTATAATAAAATATAAAACTAAACCAACAAGGGTCATGCAGCACTGCTACCATTTTCCTGTAATGTAAGAGTTTGTGAATTGATGTTTGTACTGTATTATATAATACTGTAATATGTTGTACAGTTTTTTTTATTTTGCACTGTTAAATTTAAACTTGTAAATGTTCCTGCAGGATGCTGCTCAATCCTTTGCAGCCATTGACAAGAATGGAGATGGAAAGTTGAGTAGGAAAGAATTTGTCAAGCTGGGCAGAGAATTCTTCCTCAGTGAAGATGAAACACAACCCAGCAAGCTTTTTTGGGGTCCACTCTCTGACTGAGCACACACCAGGATCTGCATATGTTTATACAGATGACAAAATTGGAAACTGCATGAAATAAAAATTCAAGGACATGCTCAACATATTTCTAAGCTAAACTATGATCTCAGTGCTTGACTTGTTAGGAAAAATATATCGTGACTGATCAAGGTAAACATGGTAACTTATTCTTAGTGATTACTGATTTAGGAAGGAAAAAAATTGGCAGCAAACTAATAAGGGAGAGGAAAGGGTGTCTGCTTTAGTGAAATATCCATTATATTAAAAATTTAGATTGAGCAGACAATGTATGCTTAATTGGTTGACTACCAGGCATGAACCCAATAAAGCAGTCTGCTGAATTGAAGACAGACCACTTGCATTCTAATGGAAATATTGTAAGTCACATTGCAGCTCCTGTCTTAGGATGTCACATTATAATTATTATTGTAATATTGGGTTATACTAGATTAAATTCTGCATATACAAAAAAAAAAAAAAAAAAAAAAAAAAAAAAAAAAAAAAATAGGGAGACTGACAGATGCTAAGGAGGAACAAGGGTTGGGTTGCAAGAGTAAGTTTGTGATTTCATTGTGTACAGTTCTATAGAAAGGTTACGGACTAGTGATTGCAGGATATCAGACTGCAATCAGGATATTATATTATTATAATCAAGGGGAAGCGCTAAACCCGGAGGATTATACAGCACCTGGGGGGGGGGGACATGGAAGGCATTCAGGCTTAATTCGGGGAACTGGAGCACAGATCCAATTCCCTAAATCAAGAGCCCCTCACCAACATCAAGGAACCTTCCTTGAGGGGAATCAGGATATAAAAAAAACTAATACATATCAAAATGGTAATTAAAATGTTTATACATACATATAAATGAATGATAGTGCCTCTGGTACTCCAATTCCTGATTGGATGCACTTTCTTTTTTACTGTTTTGCACATATTTTACTCATGAAACTGTAATAACACAGTTGCAGACAAATCATAGAACAGGTGGGGCTCATAGCCATGGTTGACCCTTGTAGGTTTAGAACTTTTTTTTATTACAATAATCATAGCCATGGCTATGAGCCCTTTCAACTCAGGACTACGAGTCCTAAAACTCAAGAGTTGTAGGACTCGGCTGCCATGGGTTCAAACCCCACCCCATTTTGTGATTTGATTAACAATAATAATAATTTATATGTATACATGCCTAAATCAGGAATGTATATGTATTTCTGGGCTGTTTCCTTTTAAGTTGTATGTAATATGTGTAATTATTGGAAATAATGCTGACAACAGTTAAATGGACACGTGTAACTTAATGTTACATTTATTCAGGCAATATTCCACTTACCAGGGTTATAAATTTTAAACATATGACACTACTGTCACTTGAGATACCTCAAATGACAACACCCATCACCACCACCCATCATCATCTATCAGCAATGTTAGTGTAGTCCTGTATAGTTCTTTGTAGTGACATTTGGTGTGTGCTGTTGGTATATCAGAATCCATTAAAGCCAAATATACCACTCTTGCCCTTAAGGCAGAGATGCTTTGTTGATGCATACAGAGTAGGAATGTGTGCCCCAGGCTTTGCCCTTAGGCCAGTGGCCTACCTCAGTTCAAATCAGGTGCTAGGTTGAGGTGGACAAGTTTGGCTGCAGTTTCGTTGTGTACACCTTAGTTAAAATAAACTACAATATCAGAGGATGCCTTTTACTACTCCATTAGCTAGTGAACCCATGCTTTGCCCATCAATTTGGGGCATAGCAGATAATTATTATAATAAAAAAAGAAGCGCTAAGCCACAAGGGCTATACAGCACTGCAGGGCAGGAAAGAAGCAAGGGCAACAGGTGACAAAAGGGAGGTGGATGAGTAATAGGTTACGGATAACAGCGGGGCAGTGGATGGTGAAAGGGTAAAGGGCAGCAAGAGACTGAACTAGAAAGGGCTGAGGGGAGTGCAAAAGGTATCATCAGAGTTTGTGGAGTAAATCAGTCGTTTTTAAGAAGTCAATGAGAGTCAGGATTAAAGGAGGGTCCATCAGCAAGAAGGGAAGGTAAAGAGAGAGTAGTAGAACGAAGACGACGACGGAGGTAAATTCTGCGTGCTCGTTGATAGAGGGGGCAGTCTAACAGAATGTGGCTAATCGATACTGGAACTTGACACTGCTCACAGAGAGGAGCAGGGTGCCTCTCCATGAGATACCCATGAGTAAGACGAGTGTGACCAATGCGAAGGCGGGAGAGAGTGGTCTCCCAACCTCGGCACTGATGACAAGAAGACGGCCAGTAACCTATGCTCGGTTTAACAGAATGAAGTTTGTTACCGAGCGGAGTTGACCAACGTTGTTGCCAACGGGTGTGAAGGTGGGTAGCTATTGCAGCAAAATAGTCCAGAAATGGAACACCTCTATAGGAAATTGGTATGTCATGTACTGCTGACCGCGCAGCAGTGTCTGCCTGTTCATTGCCCTGTACGTCGACATGACCAGGGACCCAACAAAAAACAATATCTTTATGCTTGGTAGAGATACGGCGTAGCCAAAGTTGGATACGGAGAACTAGGGGGAGAGATGTATCAAATTTTCGTACAGCCTGTAGAGCACTAAGGGAGTCTGAGACTACCACAAATGATGACAGGCATAGATGCGATACGAATAAGTGCTGCAAGAATGGCATACAATTCAGCAGTAAAAATGCTAGCCGAAGATAGTAAATGCCTCACACGATGCTGTCCGGAAACACTGCTGCGAATCCGACACCGTCTGAAGACTTAGAGCCATCTGTGTACACAGCGATGGCATGAGAATGAGAGTGGAAGTGATCAAGAAAAAGAGAGCGGGAAGCCACCGTAGGCAGTTGGGCTTTCAAGCAAGGGAGTGAGAAAGAACAGACCCGAACAGCTGGAACTTCCCAGGGGGGTAGAGAAAAGTGAGATGCTACATGAACATATAAAGGTGGTAACTGAAGGGAAGACAAGAGCGAATGTAGGCGAAGAGAAAAGGGACAGAGCAAACAGGGGCGGCGAACAAATAAAGAATGTCTACTAATATCGGTGCAGCGCTGTATAGCCCTTGTGGCTTAGCGCTTCTTTTTGATTATAATAATAAAATACTAATATTGGTGACCATTCTATAAATGGAAGAATTGTGGAGATCGTGAGAGCGTACATAGTAGTGAAGGCAATGGGTATCACTGCGATCAGACAAGGATGGAACATTCGCTTCTGCATAGAGGCTCTTAACAGGGGAAGAGCGAAAAGCACCAAGGCATAAACGTAATCCTTGGTGATGGATGGGGTTAAGGCTAGAGACAGTAGCAGGAGAGGTCGCTGAATAAATCTGGGCACCATAATCGAGTTTCTATATTATTATAATAAAAAAGAAGCGCTAAGCCACAAGGGCTATACAGCGCTGCAGGGCAGGAAGGAAGCGAGGGAATCAGGTGGCAAAAGGGAGGTGGATGAGTAATAGGTTACGGATAACAGAGGAGCAGTGGATGGTGAAAGGGTAAAGGGCAGCAAGAGACTGAACTAGAAAGGGCTGAGGGGAGTGCGTAAGGTATCATCATCAGAGTTTGTGGAGTAAATCAGTCGTTGTCAAGAAGTCAATGAGAGAGTCAGGATTAAAGGAGGGTCCATCAGCAAGAAGGGAAGGTAAAGAGAGAGTAGTAGAACGAAGACGGCATTGGAGGTAAATTCTGCGTGCTCGTTGATAGAGGGGGCAGTCTTAACAGAATGTGGCTAATCGATACAGGAACTTGACACTGCTCACAGAGAGGTACAGGGTGCCTCTCCATGAGATACCCATGAGTAAGACTAGTGTGGCCAATGCGAAGACGGGAGTGGTCTCCCAACCACGGCACTGATGACAAGAAGACGGCCAGTAACCTATGCTCGGTTTAATAGAATGAAGTTTGTTACCAAGCAGAGTCGACCAACATTGTTGCCAACACGGGCGTGAAGGTGGGTAGCTATTGCAGCAAAATAGTCCAGAAATGAAACACCTCTATAGGAAATTGGTAGGTCATGTACTGCTGACCGCTCAGCAGTGTCTGCCTGTTCATTGCCCTGTATGTCGACATGACCAGGGACCCAACAAAAAATAATATCTTTATGCTTCGTAGAGATACGGCGTAGCCAAAGTTGGATACGGAGAACTAGGGGGTGAGATGTACCAAATTTTCGTATAGCCTGTAGAGCACTAGCATAGATGCGATACGAATAAGTGCTGCAAGAATGGCATACAATTCAGCAGTAAAAATGCTAGCCGAAGATAGTAAATGCCCCCGCATGATGCTGTCCGGAAACACTGCTGCAAATCCATCGCCGTCTGAAGACTTAGAGCCATCTGTGTACACAGCGATGGCATGGGAGTGGAAGCGATCAAGAAAAAGAGAGCGGGAAGCCACCGTAGGCAGTTGAGCTTTCGAGCACGGGAGTGAGAAAGAACAGACCCGAACAGATGGAACTTCCCAGGGGGGTAGGGAAAAGTGAGATGCTACATGAACATATAAAGGTGGTAACTGAAGGGAAGACGAGCGAATGTAGGCGAAGAGAAAAGGGACGGAGCAAACAGGGGCAGCGAACAAATAAAGAATGTCTACTAATATCGGTGACCATTCTATAAATGGAAGGACTGTGGAGATCGTGAGAGCGTACATAGTAGCAAAGGCAATGGGCATCACGGCGATCAGACAAGGATGGAACATTCGCTTCTGCATAGAGGCTCTCAACAGGGGAAGAGCGAAAAGCACGAAGGCATAAACGTAATCCTTGGTGATGGATGGGGTTAAGGCTAGAGAGAGTAGCAGGAGAGGCCGCTGAATAAATCTGGGCACCATAATCGAGTTTCGATAAAACGAGGGTTGAATGTAGGCGAAGCAGAGTTCGACGATCAGCACCCCAGGAAAGATGAGCAAGGGTTTTAAGAAGGTTTAGCCGGCTGTGACAAGTTGCCTTCAGAGAGGTAATGTGAGGTTTCCAGGATAACCTACGGTCAAAGAGAAGGCCTAGAAACCTGACTATCACGTTCGAGGATACGAGAGCCATAGAGATACAAAGGATGATCGGAGATGACAGAGCGTCAAGTGAAAGTAATTTGGTGAGTTTTGGTACTGGAAAATTTAAACCCATGCGTGGTGGCCCAAGCGGAAACACGGTCGACCGCATGCTGGAGAGAAACTGCAATGAGATGACAGTCAGCGCCTGCACAAGCAATAGCGAAGTCATCAACATAGAGTGATGACCAAATATTGGGTGGAAGAACAGAGGCCAAATCATTTATAGCAAGGAGAAAAAGTGTTGTGCTCAGAACACATCCCTGAGGGACACCTTCAGCTTGGACAAAGTCCGGGGAAAGCACATTATTGACTCGAACACGGAAGTGTCTGTCAGTTAAGAAGTTCTTAAGGAAGGATGGTAGATTGCCTCGGAGGCCTAAGGAGTGCGCTTGGGCCAAAATATTATACCTCCAAGTTGTCATATGCCTTCTCAAGGTCAAAAAATATGGCAATAACTGAGTGATTATTTGCAAAGGCATTACGAACATACATATCCAAGCGTAGTAAGGGGTCTATGGTAGAACGGCCCTTACGAAAGCCATATTGACTAGTGGAGAGACTGTTGTGTCTCTAAATACCACATTAAACGGCGATTTATCAGACATTCCATCACTTTGCAAACTGCACTAGTAAGAGCGATGGGACAATAGTGGGAGGCATCATGTCCTGTAGTACCTGGCTTGCGGAAAGGGAGAACAATGGCAGATTTCCACAGCTGGGGAAGAACGCCTTGTGCCCAAATAAGATTGAAGAGGTGTAAGAGGACTACAAGGGCTGAATGATGTAAATGTTGTAACATACGAATATGAATGTCGTCAGGTCCAGCTGCCGATGATCGGCAAGCTGAGAGTGTTGCCTCCAGTTCCTGAAGTGTAAAAGGCACATTATACTGTTCTTCTCTGAGAGAAGAAAAGTCCAAGGGTACTAACTCTCTGGCAGACTTTGAGGAAAGAAACGAGGGGCATAGATGGAGCCCCCAGGAAATACAAACCAGATGAGTGCCAATTTCAATGGCAATGTCAAGAGGGTTTGCTACATCAATACCGGCGACCCGTAGAACAGGAGCCGGGTCAGGAGAGTATTTACCACTCAATTTCCTCACTTTTTTCCAGACTGCACTCATAGAGGAAGCAGAGGTGATGGTGGAAACATAGTCTCGCCAGCAAGTGCGTTTAGCATCACGGATGACACGGCGAGTGATCTCACGCTTCTGCTTAAAATCAAGAAGTCTCTCATTGGTTCTATTGTATCGGTACCTGCCCCATGCAGTGGGTTTCAAACGTACTGCACGAGCACAAGCAGGAGACCACCAAGGCACGCACTTCTGAGAATGCTTGCCTGAGGTTTGGGGTATAGAATGAGAAGCTGTGGTATAAACTGACGTCGAGAAGAGGTGTAGGAGCTCATCAATGGAGGATGAAGAAGGAACCTCACTAAAAGCAGTGAGCTGCGAGTAAAGGTCCCAATTTGCCCGATCAAATTGCCAGTGAGGGCTACGGAAAGGTGGTGAATATGAAGGAGAAGTAAGAATGATTGGAAAATGATCGCTGTCATGTAAGTCCGGTAGAACAGACCAGGTGAAGTCTAGTGCAGTGGAGGAAGAGCAGACTGATAGATTGATGCAAGAGAGAGTATGAGTACG